TAATGATCTGTTTCTCCTTGAGATATTGTTCCTCCATATGAGCTACTTTGAGTTTCAGTTTCTCATAATCTTCTACATTAATAGAATATTCCCTCATCTAATATTATGTACCAGGTGATAAACTAACCAGTAATAATCTGTTTCTTCTCCTCTACTTGTGTCTTCTCTTCCAATATTTCAGCAACTTTAGCATTAAGTTTCTCATTATATTCTATTATCAATAAAATACAAAATAAAATGATATTTTTTGCTTAAACTAATTTTCACTGCATGTAAAGTAGCCCATAAATACATGTACTATAATTATTGCTAACGATACCATATATGGTAAGCAGAGCTCACTCTACATCAATCTCATTATTTCTAATGCATGGACAATTTGACCTATATTGAGTACAGGATACTATTTCCAAACTCAACATTGTCTAATCCACTAGTATTATAATGTAAACAATGTACACATAAACAACAGTACAACACAATAGTACCTAATTCAAGAGTTGATTTATCATTTTCTGCTTGCTCAAGGAGAGTGGTAGCATCATCAAGTTGCTGAGAAAGTGTTGCCTTTTCTTGAAGAAGCTGTTGCTGCTCTTTCTCTCGATCTTGCTGTATCTGCTCCTTCTCTTTTATTTCTCTTTGAAGCTGTTCCTCATAGAATTCAATTTCTCTTTGTAATTGCAGATGATCTTGAACTATTTGAAGCTGTTTTTCTGTTCCTAAACTCTCCCAATCACTCAGTATCCTTCTTCTTAGTTGATCTTGATACTGGTCCAGAGGTATTACACTAGTAGACCAATCATTATCACTAGTATATCCTATACAGTAACAAGTTAGTGGAGAATAAGAAATACACAAATTAATTGCAGTTAGTTACTATGGTAACCTTATTATTGATGGATTCATGTTTAAACATTGCATATTGCATGTGTGACCTCTGTCAGTTTACACAGTACTGCCGCATAAACATATTATTGTATATACATACACTGATAATAATATTTCATTCACTCTAGCTCCTATTAATATCTGTGTTTCTGTATCTGCAGTCATTATATTTCACTATTGTACATAGCAGGAATGAATTGGTAATAATTAGTATCATAGGTATACGTCAAATGCTCTCATAAAATATTCATCATAAGAATTACTTACTTTATTGTAATATTATCATTACTGATTATCATTACATATTCAATACACATTGCATCTACTACTAATGTCTAGCATGTACTTACTGAGTTCAATAACTGCTGTATCTCTGTATGAAGTGCCTCCTCCAAACTCAATTATCCAGTTAGTAGTTGGGGTCACATTCCACACTGAGACAGAATGCCAGTATCTGTAAGTGACATTGACTGGTAGATTAATCTATAAAATTAAAATGATAATAATTAATTTGTGTATGACACATTAATAATTATTGATTTGATATCTGGCAATAACAAACTGACAGTTTTATGGTCTGCACAGTGTGTTTTATGTAACACAAAAATGACATTATAAAATCAATAATACACAGACAAGTATGTACTAGGGCTAGGCAAATTATGCTTCAATTTCTGCCTATTATACTTTTAGGCACTGCTCCAAATTTCATCCTATTATGCTTTGAAATAAATCCAATTATGCTCATTTTATGCTCATACTTTATGCTTTAATCAAGTATCGACTATCAAGTTACACGTATGTATCTGTTATAATTGTAATGAATAATGCCAGAATCTGGAAATGTTTCCAAAGACTTTGAGTCACTGGAAAATAGAACAGCCTAAGTTATTGTACTAGTGCTTGTACCACCATCTGCCATATTGAAACGCAATTTCATGTGGTTAGGGTATATGGACAAAAAATTTTGACCCATACCGTATACTGGGAAATTTTCGAGTAGCCAAATTTTTGCGAATTTCGCGTTTTTTTGCTCCGTCGCGAAAATAAAAATCGAAATTCTAAATTTCCATTGCCACGGGGTGGAGTTTACAGGCTATTCGCAAAAATATTATTTCGTGAAATCTTACAAATGCAAAATTCACGAAAATTTAGCGATGCGAAAATATCCCAGTATACGGTATGCTCTAATTATGCCAGCATAATCACTTGCCCTATTATGCTCCAAATTATGCTAGCATAATTTGCCTAGCCCTAGTATGCACAACTGAGTGTGTTATTATATCATGTGAGTCCTCAATTAAGAACTTACTAAGTGTCTGCATGTACACACATACACATACACATACTAATGACA